GTTAGACTTCAGTTTAAGAAAGTTTTGGAATTCTTCATAAGAGTAGGCCATAGTTCCGCTGCCTGGGCGAAATTTCCCTAATAGCACACTGTATGGCGTACGCCCGTCTTCTTTAGCCAAGACGGAGCAGAACAGTAGGATGTTAATGTTAAAAAGGATCTGTAAACCGGAAGTAGTCGAAAAATTGTCCGATATTTTGAAAAAGATAGGTTGCCAGGCAACAAAACATACATCCACAGCAGCTAAATCTTCCGAGCGACGACAAGGGTTGTCACATATTTATTCTTTTGTAGGTAATTAGGGGCATTTAATAGAGAATTTCATACAGATGACATTATAATTTTCATCGCTTGTGGGTTCACAAGGTTCTAAAAACTAAAACAAGGGCCGTAACTTTGGAAGTAATCTACAGAAATTGTTGAAATTCGACAGGCTTTTTCAATTTACTAATTCAAATAATGCATATAAATTTCATACAGATAGGATAATAACTTTTGTCGTTCGAACGTTCACAAGGTTCAACAAAGTAAATTAAGGGCCATAACTCTAGAAGTAAATGACGGAAATTGCTGACATTCAATAGACTTTTTCATTTCACTAATTTAAATGATGCATATGAATTTCATACAGGTTGGGTGATAACTTTTGATGTTCAAGTGTTCACAAGATTCAACAAAGTAAAACAAGGGCCATAACTTTAGATGTAATTAACGGAAATTTGCTAAAACTCAATAGGCCTGTTCGTTTAACTAATTTAAACGATACATATAAATGTCATACAGATCGGATAATAACTTTTGTCGTTAGAGCATTCACAGGGTACAACAAAGTGAAACAAGGGCCATAACTCACGGTGTAATTAACAGAAATTGCTGAAATTCAATAGGCTTCTTTGTTGCACTAATTTAAATGATGCATATCAATTTCAAACAGATAGGATGAAAACTGTTGTCATTAGAGCGTTCACAAGATTCAACAAAGTGAAACAAGGGCCATAACTCTAGATGTAATTAACGGAAATTGCTGAAATTCAATAGGCTTCTTTGTTTTATTAATTTAAATGATGCATATAAATTTCATACAGATCGGTTCATAACTTTCATCGTTAGAGCATTCACAAGGTGCAACAAAGTGAAACAAGGGCCATAACTCCAGAAGAAATTAGCGGAAGTTATGCAAACAACATATATCAATTTCAAAACAATTAGATAATAAATGTAGTCTGTAGTGTTCACAAGAAATTGTGGACGACGGACGGACGGATGTGGGACGTTGAGCGACGGCAATATACGACCACATTTCCATGTGGGCGTATAAAAATGCAAAAAAAGGATGCTTTGGGGAAAAACGTAATTTCTCCGTCCGATATCAACGGATTAAACAAATTAAGGTATCGTTAGGTGGCATGAGGATTGGACTGTCGTATGATATCCAACTAATTCAGATACTATGACCAAGCAGCAAAATATGGCATGCTGAACATCAAGTATTTTCTGATTTGGAGCATTTTTGGATGCCTTTATCTCGAAAACTTAACCTATCGAGAGTCCCTTCGGTAGTCTTGTGAATGAAGCCATCCAATAAGATTTTGAAGCAATTAGTATAGCATAAAAGAAAGGTTGCGAGGCAACAAAATATACGCCCACAGCAGCTAAATCATCCGGGCAGTCAACAAGAGTTGTCGCATATTTTTACTTTTTTCGGTTATGAAACATTTATAATACACTAAAATCTGATTAAGAGTAACAACTCATTAAGAAATTATCAGAAAATCATTAGAATTTGTTTGGTTTCTATTAAGTTCTGTCCCAGGCTAACGTTTAGTATACGAAAATATCGCGAAAGGCTCGAGTCGTGGCGTTATCGCGTTTAGGAATCAGTTGAAAATCCCGAATGTCCTGACGATAAACTTCCCATTCAAATTTCAGTTTGGCTTGTTTCTCTCTGTATTCCTTGTCATACAAAAGTACTGAATACCAGACATACTTGGAAGTTAGCCTAAAAATATCTGCCGTGTAATTCATATAACCAGTAAAATCCTGAAGCACACCAGTTTTGACCAAATGCAGTATGATTCGGTTATTTGCGTAGACCCACTCTTCTAAAGTCACCTTATCCATTGTTTTCTTTTTCCCCACTCTGAACTCGACATCAGATCCAAAAACATAAGTATTGTATTGAGGAGAAGTATCTGGCCATAGAAACTGTAAGATATCAAGAGCTTTACTAGTTTCAGAAGAAAATAAGTCCCCAAGTAGAAACTGCTCACCTGCTTGGGCGTGTACCTGGGTAGGCATACTCATGGCCTTTTCCGCATCTGCAGGTCGTTGGTTTGAATGTGTGTCAAATTGTAAATCGTTGTTAGTAATAGTATGCTGAATCGCACTAGGCCTAGTGTTGTCAGGCAAAAGAGGCCTAGTAGTAGTACTGGTGCTCGGCTGATTTGAATGCCTATTTAATTCTAATGCCAGTAGTCTTTTTTCTTCGTCAGTCTCTCGTTGAATACGGGTCTTTTCTCCCAGGGATCGTATGCGACCAAGTTCCTGTCGAAGATTATCCAAGTCATCGTTACTAACCTCTGCAAATGTAGCGTCTCTAAGGTATTGGTCAGAAGAGGGATCGCCTTGTGCATGTTCAGTGCCAGTGGCCTCTTCATTTAATGACCGAACGACTGTATCAGGTTGAGGTTTTGTAAAAGACGTGGCAGCGTTGTTTTCATCCTCCGATTCGCTGCCATCACTTCTTTCTTTCAATACATTTAGGGCTTCGGTCAGACGATTACCGGCCTTCGTTCGTATGGGTCTGTTCTAAGCAGGCCTAGCACATGGCGAGCTGCAAGCTATACAAGAAAGCGTGGTGGCGTTGACTTGAGAGCGAGGCTTGGCGGTAGCAAGAAACAATGACGTAATGCGCGGTTAAGGGTCAAATTCCACTAAAATATTATTTACAAATAAATATATAATTTAGCTGTTCAAGTTACAAAATTCATTGAATATCAATATACTTGTTCGTCTCTGTGTATCAATCTGAAGTCAATTGGATGATAATTTTAACCTCTAGAGCATCACAAGATTTTTCAAAGTGATCAAGAGCCATAACTTTGGCAGTAATTATCGGAAATCGTTGAAAATCAATAGGATTCTTTGTCTCATGACCTCAAACACTGTGTATACATTTAAAGTCAATCGGATATTAGCTTTAACCTCTAGAGCGTCCACAAATTTTTTTGAAGTGAACAAGGGCCATTACTCTGGCAGTAATTATTGGAAATCGCTGAAAATCAATAGGCTTCTTTGTCTCATGACTTTAAACATTGTGTATAAGAAGTTTAAAGTCAATCGGATATTTACTTTAGCCTCTAGAGCGCCCACAAGATTTTTTGAAGTGATCAAGTGATTTTTCTTAAACTTTTTTACTTAGAATCCTATCAGTGGTCTATGCCATGAATCCTATCGGTGTTTGGTTTTTTTTAAAAACAGCTCAATGGATGTTTCTGAAACTTCTGGTACAGAAAGTTAAGTATCCAAACAACTTGTTAAAAACTATCCCAACAATGATTCAAAAACCGGAAGTAGTCGAAAATATATCCAATATTTGGAAAAAAACGTAAAAAGTAAAAAAAAAAATTGGTGATATTGCGAAAAAACTGATTACTACACCAGTTTTTACCGAATCAAAACAAGTAAAGTGTCATTGGATAGCCCGAATAATGGACTATCTTATGACATCCAAATGATACAAATTCCTTGGTTTGGCAATAGATTACAGGACGCTGAAAATCTAGTATTTTCCTTTTTGGAGCCCATTCATACTTTATTACAAAAACATTGGTGAACTAATCTAAAATCATAACGGCAATTAACTAACAATACGAATATACTTTACTACAAAAATATCGGTGAACTGACCTAAAATCTAAAATCATAACGCCAAATAACAAACAATACGAATATACAGCGGTGAACTAATCTCGGCCGTGATCGGTCAACAAAAATCGAGAGTAAAACTTATTTATTCCATACATTATTGTTTATTTAACAATAAGTAAGTGTTTAACAGTTTATTTAACAATAATTGAATAAGTACAACTCAGTTAATTGACTGCTATTATAACAACAAGGGGGATGAAACAGCCCGAGGTGAAACAGTTGTGGGATGAACTGACCCACACCCCAGCTAATCAACCCTCTTATACAGGCCAACAGCACGTGCACTCCAAGATTATACAAGAGTTTGGGCAATCCATATAGGTAGTCGAGTTTAGGCAACCCATTAATGCGGTTGAGTTTGGGAGAGCCAAACCTACTCTGAACTTAGAAACCTGTCAAGTTACAAAATCACTACACGTACACTAACACAACCAATAAAATTAAATAATAATTCTTATCTAGTCTACAAACCACACTTTGGTGACTTTAGACAAACCCTATTATCTAGATGAATTGGATTTCAAATTTTAAATTTTTATTCCAAATTTTCTCGGGGTTTTTTTGTGGGGATTCGAGTGACTAGGGCTAGGCCGAAAATAATTTGGGTGTGGTTATTTTGAAACTGTGACTGTCACTAGCCTGTGACTGTCTTGTTCGTTGACAGCAATGAATATTTTCAGTATAACTCACCATCTATTTCCTTCTGATTGAAATACCTCGTCTGAAAAATTAAACAAACAAATTCAATCGTTTTTTTGTATCATCATTAATATCAATAAACAGGTGTTAATTTGACAGATCAAAGTATTTGTTTTTTTACCATGTTGAAAATTTTCCAATTTTCTTGTTTTTGTCTAGAGTTACCTTCCCTTGAAAACGGCCCCGCAGATGGGTATAAATTTTCGAGAAGACATGAAAGTATAATAATAATTATTGTATTTAGAAAAGAAATATTAAAGTTTCAAAGGCATTGATCAACCATAAAGTCTAGACAAGAGCAATTTATTATTTTTTATGTCAATATCTCGGTCAAGTTACATTCCGCACTCAAGTTTTGTTGAATAAGGGGAGATAAAACCGTCTGCTAGCGCATTCTTGGGAACTTGGATGGAAATTGGACTTCATACCTGGATTACATCGTATTAGATATGATATGATATCAAATCAAACATGCATGTAATGAATAACATCAATTGACAATAAAATTGTGATCTTTATGTGTAGTATTATGTATTTAGTGCAGTTGTAAACCATACGGTAATCAACTTTTGCTTTACATTGTAAATTACAATCAATTCAATCAAATGACTTGTATTGTACTTGTGTTGTATTTGTAATGTAACTTTTGTGAATTGTAATCAACAATGACACTATAAGAGTATTAGTAATATTATTAGACTAATGTAAAGTAAAAACGTTCGTCTTACTCTTAGTACTCATTTTTCTACTTTAAATGTGTGGTTTCGTGAAAATGAAATTTTACAAGAAAAGAATAAGAATTTAAAAATTAAAAACTGAACTCACTCAAATAACCTAGATTCAAATTGAAGACTTAATGTTTCTCTAATAACGTTCATAAGTTAGTCAAATGTAGCCTAGTGTATGCAATTGCAATAACAAGTTTTAAGATAATGATAATAATGTTATGCCTTTTGAAGAATTCAGCACCATTTACATTAGTACCATACAATGGGGCTCCGACCTATCCACACAGCAACAGCACAACACATATTTATACATGCCTTTATGAAATACTCAAATAGCATGGTCTAAAGTAGACTCTGCCATCATTCTGCTGTGCTTTTCATGAGAAAGAAGACTTAGCCTACTACAGATTAAAAGAGTGTGCACCTTATTTTGGATATTGTGATTTTATTTTTTATAATATCACAATGTAAATGAGCTTATAGGCTAACCTAATAGTTATTAATACTTTACTAAAGTTACAGTATCTAAGATATTGATATCTAAGATATTGATTTAATTATTGTATATAATGTAATTAATAAAATTTGCATGTATACTGGCCTCATTGAATCTTGTCATTGAAAGATTCCAGACAAATGACAATCTTCATTGTATTGATTGAAGAGGAAAGGCAATTAATGTAGGCTATTCTGTATTTCTTATCAAATAAATGGTTAATATGCATACCAAGTAGATATAGTTATCTTCCTTTGTGCAAATAGTGGTGGTTCAGTGAGTAAGATGTTGGATCGATAACCAGGAGGTCCCATATGTGCGATCCCGGTGTTAGCTGAGAAATGTCATAAGGATTTTCCGGCGTGGATCCCCCATGTCAGTAGTACAGGACAGGACAAAAAACCAAGGCCCTTTTAATATAACTTATAAGAGTAGGCCATATCGCTATTGTCTGGGCAAAATTTCTCTCATAACACATTGTTTGCCCATCTTCACTAGCACCGTCGGAGCAGAACAGTAGGCTGTTAAATTTCATCCCATTTCTCCTTAGGGCAAAATGTCATAGATTTTTTTAATATGCCTATAATTAGTGTAATGTCATGAAATTGTGTTTTTAGATTAAGATAGCTGGTTTTCTAGTATCTTATTGATAGAGCCACTATCTTGTTGATAGAGTGTGCTGGCACTGTTATAGTTATTTTTATCACTCAATAATAACTAACCTATTAGACATAATTTATAAACATAAAGGGGGATGAGGTGGTCGAGTAGCCAAATGTGTGGCTTTAGATCATAAGGTCTGTTATGATTATAGTAGGGTAGTCTGGCCAACATTGCAGGTTTTCTCCAGGTCCTCTGGTTCTACCCACAGCTAAAGACCCCCTATGCCCTATACACTAAAGAATTATTTAAATAAAATTGGAACAAAATATTTTAGTCATGATATGACCTACTTTGTGTTGAGCAGACGTTAAACCCCTATTCTGTGTAAACTTAAATACCAGTTTAGATAATTTGGTTGGGAATTTAGTGCTGGACCTAGCCCAAAATGTTTCAAATCACGTCTTTAAAGCTGCATAACATGTACGGTATACAATATGAGTAGCTGGTATAATGTGTGCTTATATTGATGTTTTACAGGTAGAGAAGATGTAATTTAAAAAGGAAAATATAAGCTTACTATTGTTTGGGGTCGAAAAGTTTACATGGCTTCTAGGGGTACTCTGTTTCGTCATCCAAACAACAATCATGTGGAACATTATCATCAAGAAGAACATCAAATCAATGAAAAGGTTTGTTTTTTTTTATTGTTTTTCAACATGCTCTATTCATTTCATCAATAAGGTTACCACATCTTAAATCAAGCTTATTTTGATGGTTTAGTTTTTTAGGTTAAAGGAACTGTACACATTTTTTGATTTTAGTTCAAAATAAAGTGATAAATTCTTTTGATTTGAAGTGTATTTCGTTTAGTGATGGGTTAGTCCACTATATCACTAAGTTTTCATTTCAAAAGATTAGATGAAATCGGTTTGTTTAATAATATTAGTTTTGTTTTCGGCTTCAAGTTTCAATAGCTTTATTGGCTTTTCCTACACAGTAAAGTTTTCAATGGAAACAGGTTTTCACCTCACCAAAACAAATCAACAAAATTCAATCAAAACGTCCCAAATCAAAGAAGTCTAATCATTTTTGAAGTAAAAATACATTTTCTGATGTAAGACTAAACTTAATTATATCAGGAAAGTGAAAAATTTGAAATAAGTATTTTAAGAAAGATACTTTTCTTGAACCAATATTCATTAAATAAATTGATTTAAATTGGCACCTATTGAAAGCCTGGAAATAAGGCACTGGTTACCAAGTTCAAAATGTCAGGTACATCAATGTCTGCTTTTATTTTGTGTTGGCTTGGATAATTATTTAATGTATAGATACATGGATTATATTTAAATTTGATCTGCAGGTACCCAATCATAATAAAATTATCACATCATTAACTGCGGGAGCCATGGCTGGAGCTGTAGCAAAAACAACAATAGCACCTCTTGATAGAACCAAGATTAAGTTTCAAAGTAAGATACAAATTATAATCCAACTTACTAATCCTACTCTAATTTATGCAAATACATACTGCATGTGTCTTATCTTAAAGATACATTATGGGAGATAAGATAACGAGATGGCAGTTCTCGCTATAATAGTTAAAAACTAGATAGTGTAAAGGTAATTTGCTGAAAATTTCAGTCAAATTGATCCACTATGAGCCGAGAAAGAAGCGGGTGAAATTTTGGCAAAGTCTCGGTCATCATTACTAAAATCATTATTATAAACAGCTTAGTCTCGATTATCCACTTTTATTGATTTAATTATCAACGGCCGTTAGCGGCATATAGGAATCTAATCCAGCCAACATCGAAGGCTAGCCTTGACATCGAGAGTTTATTATGGTCTGGATAAGTTAATTAATGTCTAATTGATAATTTAGATAACATTTCAGGCCTAAAGAAAGACTTGTAATAAGCAGATTTTGCTCTTGCATAATGCATGTTTAATAAGTTTTACTGTTTGGAATGAGGCAAATTATTTTATCATCAGCATTTTTATTAAATGTTAAAAGCTCAAAATTTTTAATTAATTTGTCTAATGCCAAAACACAAAGACACGAAATAGAAATAATTGACCTTATTTTCGACAGTCCTTTCTTTTGTAAAATTAATCATAGTGCGTTTATCAATAGTAATTTGCATTAAAATTTTTTTCCTTTTCAGTATCAAACATACCGTTCTCTTTCCGGGCTGCTATCAGCTTTTTAGTCAAAACAGTCAAAAATGAAGGTTTCTTTACATTGTGGCGTGGAAATTCAGCCACAATGGCAAGAATAATACCATACGCTGCCATTCAATATGCTGCCCATGAACAGTTTAAAAATTTTCTTAAAGAAGATGTTACAAAGAAGTAAGGTCCAATATTTTTTTGTAGACTGAAGTGAAACAAAAGGGACATTTGTTATTATAGTATACAATCTATATTTTGTTAATATATAAAGTGTAAAACCATCGGCTCAGTGTATCCGTTAGCCGGCTTTCAAAAAGTTTGGCCCCCCCCCCTGTGAAAAAATTCTCAACCATGAAAAAAATAGATATACATTGTCTGTCAATATTACAGCACCCCTGAGAACACTTCCCACCCCCCTTGTTGCTCTGAGCTAGTTACGGCCCTGGATTTGATTCTTTGAGAGAGAGAAAGAGGGGGGGGTAACGTCCACTCGACACAAACTATGTCATGGTTCAATTTTATTTCAATAATTCGCTTGCGCGTAGAGGTCTTTGTCTTTAGCAGTGGGAGGAAACTGAAGGACCCAGAGAAAACCCACGAGGTTGGACAGGCGACCCTACTCTTTGTCACTACAACTAGGCAATTGAAACCATGCCAGTTGACTCAATGATAGACCTATACAGCGTGCATGTGCTAACCATTCGGCCATCCAACCGAACTGATTGTTTGAGACTTTGGAACACAATAACTTTGATTCATTTAAAGAGGGTGATGAAACTTGTGTATATAGTTTCATTGCATCAATACCTTGATTAAGTTCGATGACAAGACTTTGAACCACAATAACACTGCTTCTAATGAGTTGAACAATGAGGATTTTCCGCTCTGGCACCGCGGAGATAAGCAATTTGTTTCTGGATTTTTTTTAACACAATAACTTTGAGAGTTATGAACCTAGGTGTGTAGTTTCTTTATGTCGAATACCTTGACTAAGTTCATGTTTTATAAAAAGATAAATGCACCTTACAAGTTAATTATGAGTGTCATTTTTCGATTAAGGTGGGAAACATAAACTGCACTGCTGGCTTCTGAAATTGATATAGTATATAGCTTTCTTTACATTTAACTTTTATTATTATGGAATGATGTTTCTGAAATATATTATGTAGAAATATGATCAATTTCAATATTGGTTTTCTTTTGTAAACTTATAGCATTTTGCAAATTTCACTTCAATTTTTAGATTGATATTATATAATATCTGGTTTTTACTTTGGAATAATATTTAATTTTTCAGACATCTTACACCAGGTAGAAGATTTTTGGCTGGATCTTTAGCTGGGGTAACATCTGTAGCATTTACTTATCCATTAGATATGGTCAGAGCAAGAATGGCTGTTACTGCTAAAGAAATGTAAGACAGAATCATTTTCAAAATATTGAGAACGTGGAGGGGGGGGGGGAACTAATGCTAAGAAATTATTTTGAAGAAATCAATGTGGGCAAAAATTAACATTCATTCCCATTGAACTGTGGAGAAAAGAGATGTGGTGTTTAACGTCCATTGCACTAGTCATTTCTGAACTAACAAATTATATATTTTTATTTCAATAATTTGTTTGATCATGGAATAACTAGAGAAAACTTGTGTGACCTCACTCCTTTTCACCAACAAACCCGGAATCAAACCATTTCATCATTCTGGTAGAAGCATCCCTATTATTCTCTATATGAAGCAATTTTATCAACAATAAAGATTAGTTATTTCAATTCATTTTATTTCATTATAAGTATTATTTAAAGGTATCATAATTTACCAGAAGTATTCATGAAGATATATAGAGCTGAAGGCTTTAGAACATTATATAGAGGATTTACACCAACCATTCTAGGTTCTATACCATACTCAGGAACAAGCTTTTTTACTTATGAAACTCTTAAAAAAACTCATGCAGGTAATCAGTAGAATTTGTTTAAAACTTAGATATTAATTAAGCTTTCATATTACATATGAAAGCTTATTGTTTCTGTTAAGATTGTTATTGTTATTATTATTTTTTTTTTGTGTGTTTTATCCACAAATCGGATTTCTCAGAATCTAACCATAGGATCTTTCTGAAACTTTTACCTATCCTCCCAAAAATGGGTGGTGGCTGTTGATTAAATATATTTTCAAAACGTTTTACGCATCCGAAATCACCGAATTTTACGAACGAACGCATTTGACCTACAATGCTGTAACTTTGTGACTATTTGACCTATTTTACTAAATCTTTTTTCTTTGAGTACCTTGAGACAATTCGTCGCAGTGATTTCGAACCCGTATTTATGACCAATTTGACAACTTCTTTATTAGTTGTACGATTTTCATGAAATTTAGCTAAATTATCTCCCCTTAATGAAATTAAAAATCAAAATTTTCAAAAAAATTATCAAAATATAGGTCAGAATGACCTAATTATTTTTTTTCGTTACTAGACAAGTAATTACTGATTCATATACAAAATATGGAGTTTGTCGATCGAACCGGAAATGCCACCATCTTGAAACGTGAAAAGTCTTAATAACTTTTGCGATATTGCACTTACAGACATGGTAGTTATATTTTCTAAATCCCTGACGGAATGCCTAAAAAACGTTCAGAGCAGAATTTTGATTTAGGTCAACTGATGACCGCCATTTTGAAGTGAATATGAAAAATAGCGAAAAATCGACATTTACGGTCTTCTAAACAAACACAATAGGGCATAGTATGTTCAACACGTCTCCTATTTCAGAAATTAATACATTTCAGGATAGCCGGGATACGGGTCGAATGTTTGGTATTTGAATATTTCAAAAATTCGAATTTCGCCTTTGATGTTTTCCGTGCCGACAAGGTTGTTTTCGAGTGTAGACACGCGCATGCGCGTCACTACCCTACTTTCATGCACACCAACTTAAAACTCACCGGGTATCTGGCTTATGGTCCCAAGCATAATTCCAAACAAGAAATTTTAGGGCCCGACTCATGGGGGGCGAGCGGTGGCCATTTTCCCGGGGGTACATAAAATAAAACAAGAAAATAGAGATGGAACTAGGTGTTCGATTTTAATCTGGAGACAATTTTTGGATGCGCCGAGGTCGGAAATGGGGGATTAGCCGAAGTTTCGAAGAGATAGGTACATTTTGTAAAAAAATCCCTTCATAACAAACATATTTAGCTGCTTTTGACTTCACACATGCGCAACGCTGTAACCAAAGGTACCATGTCTACCAAATTCCGGTGAGGAACTTTTCACGTTGGAACCTAGGTGCCCTGAAAATTTCAAGGCGATACCTGCATTCCTTCAAGTCGTTTTTTCTTGGCACGGCTCCAGGTCGGTTTTTTTTCTAAGTCAATTTACGGCTTCCTTAAGGGGAAAAAGGGGGAATTTCGCCACAAAACCGGAATGGATTGTCCGAGAACCATGAAATTTGGACACAATACGCCCATTACCACCCCGGACTCTGTGCTTTACTCCCATTTTGATCCTATTAAAAAAAAAAGAGTTTTAGCAAAAAAACGATTTTCGGAATTTAATATTGGTTTTAATTAACTTTGAAATTGCAAATGCAAAGGGATTTTATCGCCTCTACCGTATGTGATAGGTATTAGTACTATACACATTATCCTTAAAAGACAATTTTTTAAAATGACCGCAACGATGTATCGACACTAGAAACCGAAATCGCATATTTTGACCTTTTTTGACTGCTGAGGCATCCTTCCAGTGGTCCAAATCTCTAGAATTTCTAGCGGTTGGCTGCGCCGCGATGATATTTATCACATATTAAAAGGAGAAAATGCTCAGATATCAAGAACAATAAAAATTCGATAAAATACGGCAATTTTTTAAGCAAAAAAACTTTGATCGGTGGGGGTGGGTTTCGAATTTATTTTCAACATTCTCGGAATTCCAGACTCTTCTATTTTTAATATGTGATAGCTTGAATCCCATGGTACATCCCGTGCAAAATTGAAGGCAATCGGCCCAACGGAACGTTGCCTTGGCAGAGCAAATCAACCCCGTTATCGAAAATTTGCTCATTCTTCAACGCTTATTATAATAGATCAATCCAGGTCCCCGATCCACCGTCACATACCAAACCACTCCGAAATATACCCAAAATTCCCTAATCGACCGTAATTTCTTTTGACTACCAAATTCCGGCGAGGAACTTTTCACGCTGGTACCTAGGTGCCCTGAGAAATTCAAGGCGATACCTGCGTTCGTTCAGGTCGTTTGTTCTTCACACGGTTCCTGTCGTTCGGCTTTTTCCGCCATTTACGGCTTCAGTAAGTGCGAAAAAAGTGGAATATCGCCACGACACCGGCACCGATTGTCCGAAAACCATGAAATTTGGACACAATACACCCATTGCCACCCCGGACTTTATGCCTTACTCCCATTTTGATCCGATTAAAAAAAAGAGTTTTAGCAAAAAAAAAAAAGATTTTCGGTCAACTGATGGTCTCCATTTGGAATTGAATATGAAGAACAGTGAAAAATCCACTTGAACAGACGTGAAAATGAACTACAATAGGCTGTAATATGTTCAATGCGTCTCTTATTTCTGAAATTAATGCATTTCAGGATAGCTCGAGATCAAGATCAATTTTTTGGTGTTTGAAAATTTTCAAAATTGAGTATTTCGCCTTTGACCTTTTACGTGCCGACAAAATTGTTAAAAGGACAATTTATGCCTTTAATTTTCAAAATTTACAAATTTAACCTAAATATTCGAACAGCTAAGGTCAATCTGATTCAAACAATGTTAGTTCCGTTCAAAGTTATTTCATTTATTTTTTTGATATTTTCCTGCCCCTTTTTAGTTCTTTCCCGCCATTTTCGTTTCATGTTCTCATCCGTCCCGTTTTTAAACGGCTTGATCCATTTTTCTGAAACTTCTGGAACGGAAAGTCATTCCGATTACAGCAATCCAACTCTCAGTTATTTCCCTTTAGTTTTCAGATTATTTTGTTGCCCGGGTGCAATGTTTCTCACTATATTTAGACTTGTAACTCCGCGACTTTTTCACCGATTTTGATAAATTTTTTTTGTTGTTCTTTTTTCTTTTAAGATACTTGATATAATCCATGTCACGTGACGATGAATATGAAAGCTTTCATATCTGCATGGGACAGTAGCAGATCTAGTATTATACTTATTTTTATATGTAACAAGTACCACCGTACTATTGACCAGGAAATAACTATGACGATTTGTCATCACAGCTCTTTTGGAATCGTGACGTATCAAAAATCGATGTCCGTCAATTGGTGTTCATTTGTCCAAGGAACAAGCATGCCAAGTTTCATGTCAATTCTACATGAATTGGCAGAGAGTAGACTTTTCTCAAAGAACACCACCCCCAATATCAAGATGATTAGTGTCTGGGGAACAATTTTTGGTCCTGATTTGTGACAGCAAATTTTATTTTTACAAAATACTGATTCACTACTTCTTGACGGTGCATTTTAATCGCACTTGTAAAAACTTTCCAGTCAGCATCACAATTCAATTACATCCTATAACAGAATATCCTATATTTCGGGCTGAGTTCATATTGAGGGATTGTGGCTTTCAGTCGAGTAGTAGTACTAATAGTAATAGATGGATATATTTTTGCCCAGGTAATATAAATATAATTAACAATAATAATGACATTGCAACACTTTTATTCATCTCAGTCTAAAATATTACGTATGTAGTATATCTTATTATTTAACCACCTCTTTTTAAGAATATGCAAAGGGAAGAGAACCAACTCCAGTAGAGAGATTAGTTTTTGGTGCTATTGCTGGTATATTAGGTCAATCAGCATCCTATCCTTTAGATATTGTCCGAAGAAGAATGCAAACAGCTGGTAAATATTCTTTATTATCCTGATTGCTATGACAATCTTTGTTTTTATACGCCCACATTTTCATGTGGAAGTATAACATAATATTGTCTTCGCCCCTGTCTGTCCACAATTTGTTTGTGGACACTCTACAGGTCACAATTCTTATCCGATTTTGACGAAAATTGAAATAAGCTTCTTATAGGTTTATCTCCAAATCATCTCAGTTCCTTTCGATATTGGCAAGTATCAGATCGAACCTTAATAAATTATGGCCCCTGATTGTACAAAAAATCATGTTTTTGCTTGTGGACACTTTAGAGGTCACAATTTTGATCTGATTTTGATGAAACTTGAAATGCATGTTTATAAACCAAAAATCTTGGATCCTGTCGATATTTGCGCATATCGAATCCGAATTTCCTGAATTATGGCCCTAGAATTTAAGAAAAATCGTGTTTTTAGCTTGTGGTCCCTCTAAAGGTCACAATTTTTATTATACGCCCACATTGAAATGTGGTTGTATACTGTCGTCGACCACCCCCTCCCCCCTATCCGTCCGGCGGGCCGGCATCCACAATTGCTTGTGGACTCTCTAGAAGGTAAAAGTTAATATCCGATTGACTTTAAATTTATACACAGTGTTTAAGGTAATGAGACGAAGAAGCCTATTGATTTTCAGCGATTTCCGATAATTACTGCCAGAGTTATGGCCCTTGATCACTTCAAAATATCTAGTGGATGCTCTAAGAGGCGAAGAATCCTATTGATTTTATGCGAATTTCGGATAATTACTGCCAGACTTTAAATTTATATGAAGTGTTTGAGGTAATGAGACGAAACATCCTATTGATTTTCAAGGATTTCCGATAATTACTACCAAAGTTATGGCCCTTGATCACTTTGAAAAATCTTGTGACGCTCTAGAGACTTATGTTATCATCCAATTGACTTCAGATTGATCCACAGAGTTTAAGGTCTTGAAACCAACAAGTATATTGATTTTCAATGAATTTTGATAACTCGAACAGCTAAATCCATGATGTTAAATAATTTGTATACTAAATGTTAGCATGGGGCAGAAATTTATAAAAACCAAACAGATTCTAATGATTTTCTGATAATTACTTAATGAGTTGTTATTGTATTATAAAACATGTTTCTAACCCAAAGATCTTGATTCCTTTTGATATTCACGCATATCGGATCGTAACTTCCTGAATTATGGTCCTTGATTGTCTGAGAAATCACGTTTTTAGCTTGTGGTCCCTCTAGATGTCACGATTCTTATCCGATTTAAAAAAAACGTTTGAATACATCACCGTTACACCCTTATGATGGTCGAGTTCGAATTTCGGACCCAAACTGTCGGACAAAATGGCCGCCCATAGTACGCAAATATTGTAAATATATGGTATATCAAGGTTGTGGACCCTCTAGAAGACACAATTTTGATCTGATTTTCATGAAACTTGAAGTACATATTTATGTCACTAATATAACTTCCTGGATTATGGCCCCTGATTGTACGAAAAACATCTCTCTTTTTTTTAGCCTGTTCTCTATCCATCTCTTCCAAAATGTGGGCGTATCTTGCCTGGAAACCCCTGGTTTAATTTTTCTTTTTAATTGTTTATATCAGAGTTTCGTTTAAAGGAGATGGTACATATTCAGATTATTGTGAATTGAAGGTTATTTTTTAATATAGTTTTGTAGTAAACTTCATGGTAACGAATTAATTTGTCTCTTTAAAGTCTGTAAAAAAGGTTTGTTCTTTATATAGGAATAATGGTGGTTGGGTGGTCTAATGCACCCATTGAGTCAAACTTGCTTGTACATGACAAGGAGTAGGGTTGCCTGTCCAAGCTTGTGGGTTTTCTCCCACTGCTTAAGACCCCTACACAGCAAGTGAATTATTGAAATGAAATTGAACCATATGAATAAAATAGTTTATGTGGAGTGACCGTTAAACCCCATTCTCTCTCTCTCTCTCTCTCTCTAGTAATAAAGAAATGGATATTGGTAAGTAATTACTTTCAGAGTAATGGTAATTAATTCTCTCTCTCCCTCTCTCTCTCTCTCTCTCTCTCTAGTAATAAAGAAATGGATATTGGTAATTAATTACTTTCAGAGTAATGGTAATTAATTATAATCTGAAATGTTTATTCTTTGTAATGATTACATTTAAAATGTAATGGCCCCAGGTCTGCGACCCACCTGATTTTATATTTTAACAATAAATAGATATCACTGACAGGTGTTAGAATCAACTTTTGAAATTTACTCTATACCTCTGTGCAATCACCACACCGGAATAAATTTGGAACCAGAACTAGCAACTGTCATTTGGGAAGAGTAAAAATTACATTTTGATCCTGTGTGAATGACATGGATAATCTGCTATCCATGAATTGAATAGAGTCTATAGACCGAAATCATTTAAAACGGATCCAAGTGATTTAATTTGCATGTATTGTGAGATTGTAAGATGAAACTTGTCTTATATTATCGTTGGTCTGCTGAACATTGTATGATAAAATAAAATGCCTGACAACTACTAGATGTAATATGAAACAAACATTTTTTGATGTAAAACTTTTAATTATTTAATTACCAAATATAAAAGTGCCCATTAAACTTAATCCTAGCTGAAAGTCTTCATTCTTTTATGAATCGTAATATATGCTTTCATTTTGTAGGTGTAACAGGACATAGTCATGATTATACCAGTATTATATCTACAGCTCGTAATGTTATTAAAGATGAAGGGTTTAAGAGAGGAATGTATAAAGGTTTAAGTATGAACTGGATAAAAGGACCTATAGCTGTAGGCGTTAGTTTTACTACATTTGATATCACTCAGCGTTGGTTACGGAAGAAGACTATATTTCATATTGATGAAGAGTCCTAATACCTAATTTTATACTAAATTGTGTATCACAAGTCATCTCAGGTTATGATAGGTGCTATAATAAGATGTAAGCCAGTTCTTGTGTTGCAAGTGAAAGTGATTGTTGTTGTGTTGTGTGAGTTTTTATTTACTAACTATGAATGACATAATATCTTGTTGAGTTTTAATGAGAGGGTACACTTACTTTGATTATAGTATTTACAAATTATATTTACATAATATTACACATTTTGTCATAGAGAGAAATTATTACGGCATAAAACAATTGTGGACATTAAATGGATTTGAGAATTGCATTATTTTAGGTTATAAAATGTATTCTTGTTAACCATTGGGCACACAATTATTTTGACTTGATCATTTTCGAATACTAGACCAGATGTATCTTTTAAACAAAATATGACTATTTACTAAAGATTATGAATTATGCAATTTTTCTGTTGCATATTGATCTTGGTAGTTTAAGAGTTTAGAGGGTTAATTTGATGTACAGAATGATTTTATGTTTTACAGTATTATGTAAAGTTTACTCTAATTACCCAGTAATTGAGATCAAATTGCATAATATACTATATTTATGTGAGGCATTTGTTCTTGAAAAACATTTTTTAAATCCAACCAAACAAAAAAAAATTTGTGGATGACTGTGATTATGTAACCAGTAGAGTTTTCGAAATTACACCCCAAAAATCTCATAAAATCGTGCTTTTGATATTGAAATCCTTTATTGTGTTAAAATTGAGCCCTGCAAATTGTTCAATAGTCTGTTTGTACTTCATACATAATATGATTTTTGGTTGATAGTTATAATATGAATCATGTCTATATGTGGAAAAGGCATAAGCGAACTATTTCACATGACATGAATATTCAATGGGGTGCATGCATAATATTACTTTAGTTGGATGTAGTTTCCCTCAATACCAAAACGTTTGCTGCAGAAAAGGATTTGGGAGTAGAAATTGATCCTACTTTTCAAGAATTCTAGAATCAATGTTTATTTAACCATAGTAACCAAATTACATACTACAGAAGCGCTTATCTTATTTCTAATCATTTCCGGCAACCTGGTTTGACTTAGTGGACAACGGTTTTAAAATGTATTTCATTTGCAGCACCCTGTTAAGTTATATACATGTTTATACAATTTTTATACGCCCACATTTTCATGTGGAAAATATATTGTCGTCGCCCCTGTCCGTCTGCCACAATTGCTTGTCGACACTCTACAGGTCACAATTTTTATCCAATTTCAACGAAACTTGAAATATAGGTTTATCTGCCTAAGATCTTGGTTCCTTTCGATATTGGCATGTATCGGACCGTAACTTTATAGATTATGGCCCCTGATTGTACGAAAAATCACGTTTTTAGCTTGTGGACCCTATAGACTAGTATAGAGGTCACAATTTTTATCTGATTTTGTTGTAATTTGAAATGTAAGTTTATAACCCAAAGATCTTGGTTCCTTTCGATATTCGCTTATATCGGACCGTAACTTCCTGAATTATGGCCCCTAATTGTACGAAATATCACCTTTTTTAGCTTGTGTACCCTATGGAGGTCACAATTTAATTTCAATTTAAAAAACCGTTTGAATATAACACCGTTACACATTAATGACGGATGAGTATAAATTTCATGAAAATTGGACCAAAACTGCCAGAAAAAATGGCCGCCACTCATACGCAAACAGTGTAAAAATATGTTATATCAAGGTTGTGGACCCTCTAGAGCTCACAATTTTGATCCGATTTTGATGAAACTTGAAATACATGTTTATAACCCAAGATCTTGGTTCCTTTCGATAATTGCGCATATCGGATCGTAACTTCCTGAATTATGGCTCTTGACTGTACAAAAAATCACATTTTTAGCTTGTGGTCCCTCAAGAGATCACAATTATTATCTGATTTAAAAAACTGTTCGAATATGTCACTCCCCGCAAATAGTGTAAACATCTGGAATATCAAGGTTGTGGAACCTCTAGAGGTCACAGTTTTGATCCGATTTTGATGAAACTTGAAATACATGTTTATAACTCAAATATCTTGGTTCATTTCGATCGTAACTTCCTGAATAATGGCCCTTGATGTTACGAAAAATCGCTTTTTGTTTAGCTTGTTCTCTATCCATCTCTTGCAAAATGTGGGCGTATCTTGCCTGGCAGCCGCTGGTTTGATGTATTTTTCACATTTAAACCATGTTCCTGATTTATATCTGCTATTTCAAAATCATTGAAGTTTGTTTTATTTACGAATCATTTATTTGTTGAAAGTGATGTATAAACGCGTGCATTATTAACACAAATTGAATTATGCGCCAGCATATTTTTATGGGCTTCATTTATCATTTTATTACTCTTAGCTTCCATTACTCATATTAAAACAGTAAGTCTTGAAATAGAAATACTATTTTGAAACGATTAGGACTCTCTGATTTTAATCAAAAATAAAATTGTCGATTTCATGTATTTCAAACATATTTTCTTTTCATCACTGGTAGTCAGTTAAGGCAAACCAGTATAAGTATAGGTAGATTAAAACATGTAACACAGTCCACATTTTATCGAAGGCTGTTCAAATAATATCTCTAATACAGTGGTTCTCAACCTTTTTTTGCCAGCGGCACGGCACGGCACACCTTGGAACACATGAAAAAATAGCGGCACACCTGGCTAAATATATATGAAAAATATCCGAATTTTTCAAAATAAAAACATTTTAAGTCAGACGGAATACAACCGTACACAGAGACTATAGTCATAGACACATAGAATGACTCAAACTAAATAAGGAAAAACACAGCTATGAACTTATCAGTAGACACCAGTGAATATTCAATTGGGATCACATGGTTTTTCACATTTTCTTAGTGTGCCGTTCAAAATTTCGCGGCACACTTAGGAAGATCTCGCGGCACACTGGTTGAGAATCACTGCTCTAATATCTTAAACCTCTAAAAAGCTAGACAGTCCCCACCTATGTACCTCATATTTTATGCCATAGATGTACTTACTTTAAATCACCAGGATCCACCTTATTAAAATAATCAGGAAATCCCATATGCATAAATAACAATGATTTTGTTATTTTTTATATAAATGACACTAATAAAAACTATTATGTAAAATAGCCAAACTTAGTAGGTTAAAATTTAGATTATGAAAAATTAGCTTAGACCTACCAGTACATTTTATAATAGTAAGAAAAAAACTGGTTTCCTAAAGCCAGTTAAAAATATGGTCATGTGTAATGAAAAAAAAAAATCTGCAGCCCAGATGTTTATTAATAAAATATATAATTTCAGAGATTATTGATTTCGTCAATGTAAAACAACCACATACTAAATAGAGTTATTTTATTCCACAATCTTTTTTATACACCCCTGTTGAAATGTGATCATATTGTTGTCTTCATGTGGATCAGTCCTTTTGTTATCCGCAGTTTCTTGTAAACACTACAGACTGCATTTGTCATCCTATCTTTTTTCACATATGTTGTTTAGATTAGTTAGATAAAGAAGTTTAGTTTAAACATATTTTATTGTTCATTAAATATCAATAGGATGGGACACAAGTTTGGCAACTTATAAAGTCTTCTCTTTTACATAAAGTTATTAATATAAAACAAACAACAAGATACATTGACATGAGACTTGAATTTTAGCGATTTTTGATAATAACCCCCAGAGTTACTTTCTTTGATCACTTTGTAGTATCTTATGAAAGCTCTAATGACAAAAGTGACTATCCAATCTGTTTGTAATTTATATGCACCGTTCAGATTAGTGAAGTGATGAATCTTATCGAATTTCATCAATTTATATTTAATAATTACTTTTATCTAGATAATTACTTACAAAGTTATTGCCTATGTCATAGAATATTATCAATTTACCAATGATGTTATGCAACCCATCTTAAGATAATATAGTTATCATGTAGATTTTTAATATAAAAATATAAATTATGCTAAAAAGCAATAAGTGTCAGAATAGAAAAATACTTACCAGTCTATTGTACACCAGATAATAATTTAAATTAAAAATTCCATGATTAAATGTGATGGTAAATCTACATTGTGTTTTTTACCCAGGCCAGATAAATAATTTTTCATGGAAATCCTGTTGAATATTTACAATTTTTGACAAGTATTAACAGAGTTCTGGCCCTTGCTTCAAAATTGTTCATCACTCCATTGTGCTAAAGTTTTAAATATATTTTGTGCAACTGTTTTATGATAATCAGTATTTATATTTATTTGATATATTATTATTGATTTCAAAAAATGAGATTATAAAAACTTCTGACAAGCTTCCATAAAAAGATAACCTCAGTTGACTGTGTGGACAACATGATAGCTAGTTATTAAATGAATGCAATTATTGACAGGTGTAAGAATTATGTTAATCTAATTTCTGTTAATTGTACATGTTGAGAGTATTGTAAATAGTATACAGATATCATCCTAGAAAAAAAGAGAATTAAGACTGACTATATTAATTAACATTTGATCAATAATTGCAAAATATAATTGAAGGTTTGCTAGTATTTGAAAATAATTACTAGCAGCCAATGCAAAAGATTGTTTATAGTATGTAGAATCAATGTGTGCTAGTATCAGATATTTGTGTGATAATATATAAATAGTGGCCTGTAAATCAAATATATGATTTGTTATAAAATGTTCATTTATTTTTATCTGTGATTTTCTTAACAATAAATTATTACTGAAATGTTTTTTTAATGTTTATTTTAGATTTAACACCTAGATGTACATTGGTGGGTGTGTATTAGGGAGGGGAGGTCGTGGTGCAAACAGTATTGGTAGATTGATGCCATTAAAGCATATTTTGTACAGTTATTATTGATGATAATAATAATAATAGTGTATATTTATTATAATGCCCAAATTTCCATACAGGTATGCATGCTCAAAGCTCGAAACACTATGTGCACTATATATCTTTTACTATTACTATTTACGCAACAGTATATTCGGTTAAATACAACTGTATTCACATTTGAACAGACAAGACTTTAATCTCGATTTGAATAATTCCACTGATGGGGCAGATTTTACACTTAATGGTAATGAATTCCATAGATTGGGAGCACTGAACAGGAAGGATTTGTATCCAAAAGTTTGAAGGTTAAATTTGGAGAGAAAGAGAGAGTTTAACCTCCACTCGACACAACTAGGTCATTTCGGGACTAACACATGGTTCAATTTAATTTCAATAATTTACTTGCGCGTAGGGGGTCTTTAGCAGTGGGAGGAAACCGAAGGACCCGGAGAAAACCTACGAGGCTGGACAGATGGCCCTGCTCCTTGTCACATACAACCAGGGAATCGAAACCACGCCAGTTGACTCAATGACAGACCTCATGATATAGCGTGCACATGCTAACCATTCAGCCATACACCCCACCCCAAGTTGAATTTGGGAACTTCTAGTAAATGCTGGGTCTTGGGATCGTTAATTACGTTGAGGAATATACACATGAATTAGATCAGACAGATATGTTCGATTAGTACCATTGGAACATCTATATACATTGCAGAATTTTGTTGTGGATTCTCTAATGGACAGACAGCCAGTAAAGATCTTTTAATAAGGGTTTGGTTTTTTTCCCTTTTTGAAGTGTGACCGACTACACTGGCAGCAGTATTTTGAATAATTTGTAGGTTTAAAATTAAGTTGCGATTTAAATCACTCAAGATGCTTCTGCTGTAATTCAGTCTAGAAAAGATTAGTGATCCAACAAGCTCGTGAGCTGAGTCTTTTGTTAGGAGATGTCTGATATTGCCAATAACCCTCAAATGTAACATATCTTGCTCATATAATTGATGTGTTCTTTTCCATTCTTAGACTGGAATTTAAGAATACACCAAGACTTTTTACACTATAATGTGTTTGCATGTTCACAATGGTCACTGACTGAATCAATTTTCTGTAGATTCTTTTTGGTACCAACTTCGGTCTTGTCGGTTATCCAAGACTTGATTTCCGGAGTAGATGATGATGTCACATGGAATTAGTACATGTACATATGTATATTGATTTGGTGTGAAGGCATCAATAGTTTAGGTATCATCGGGTATGAATCGTGGGAGAGTTGATGAGTCTAATAATGGATCAACTTGACTGTGAATAAGACGAATAACACAGGACCTAATGCAGAGCCTTGAGGTACAGCACAGGTCAATGGGCTGTTTGTGATAACCCGTTATCAATACGTACAGATTGTGTGCGACCATGTAGGTATGATGTGAACCACTGCAATGGATTAGCTTCCGATGCCACACCTGGCAGACAGGTTATCAAGTAGTCTATGGTATCGAAGGCTGCTGGCAGATCGAGGATCACGACTGAGGCAATATTATTACCGCTGCCAACATTGCAGCACAGCGTAAATCATTAACCACTCGGAGTAAAGCTGTCTCTGTGCTGTGTCTAATTAATAATTTATATAACATTTATGGCCTAAAGAAAGGCCTGCAATAGGCAAAGTTAGCTTTTGAATAATGTGTTTCTAACTGTGAAAAGAAACCAATTACCAAACAACTTGATGTTGCAGGGAGCCATCCACAGCACAGTTAAACATTAAGAAATGCGAAGGGTTTTCCACCCAAATTTGCCCCTAATACCAGGTATAACTAACGAACGGTAACTGTGTAGTGGATCGTCTATTTTATTGCCATAAAACATGTGTGGATGTTGTAACGCCCAGAAATCATACTGTAATTGGTAAGCCTTTCGAAACGTATGTGTTTGAAACGATTTCTACTTGCGCAGAGACCTGAGAATGGGGGAGGGGGGGGGCTGAATTAAAAAGATAGATGTTGTTTTTAAAAAATAAATTCGCTATTGTTCGTTCTGGAGTAAATTCTGGACGTGTAACAAAAGTTACATAAAATAGAAATATTGAAGTTTTTTGTATCAGAACATAAGTTTCAAACTTCAATCAAGGTACGAATCCCCGCTAGTCCGTTTTATTTTAGACAATCACTAATAAAAGGCTACAAAATAAAATAAGATAAGATGGGATTTTATTGTACGGAAACATGAGAAACCTTCACCAAAATTCGATCAAGTTACGTTACAAACCCCAGTCAATCGTATCAATTCAGTTGCTATAGATAGAACCTATTATTACATCCGTATTAGAGAATGAATGATCTCCCATTTCCTGGCGAACAGGAGGTACTATAAATTTCTACCAGATAGTTCAAGACAAAGTCAAAATTACCCACGGAGCACTTTTTGGGGTGAGAGTGGACCCTATCTACTGCAAGTTCAAGTGGGACTCCTATTCTAAATTAGAATCATCCAATGGAACTATTGATCTTGTACTCAACCCAAAATGTGTCGGGACCTGTAAATGTGGGGGCCCGGGACATCTTGTCCCACTTTGTCCCCCCCCCCCCCCCCGTTTTACATTCAGTACTGTCAAAATTAATCTATGTACATAAAATATATACTCTTCAAAAAATGTAGGGGACATTCAGAAACAATACAAAACTGCGGAAATGCACTGCTGTTTTTATTAGAGGTAACCAGTGTATGTTAATAACCGGAGAATTGCCTACACATGAACATATACAGTTCATATAGGCGGCTTATCTTACGGCCCCATTTCACTCGCAAAGAGATACACTGTCAAAGGTGAAAATGGACGTTTTTGATCTTTGTCTTAATAATGAGTAATTGCTCCACCAATCCTCAGACATTCAGCAATTCGTCGTGGCATGCTCCTAATCAACAGTCCAATCACGATTTGGGCAATCTGACCCACCCCTCTTGCAGTGCCACGGCCAATTCTCGCAGTGTTGTCGGTTGACGTTGACGTCGACGAACACGTCTCTCGATCATGGCCCAGACATGCTCTATAGGGAAAGGTCGACGGGACTCATGGCTGGCCAAGGCATATGGACAATATGTTGACGCTAGAGGTAGTCATTCACGACACGAGCGCGATGGGCACAGGCATTATCATCTTGAAAGATGAAACGTCGACCTGCACGTTGAGCAAAGGGCAGAACTATCGGTTTCAGGATGTGTTCATGGTAGTACACACCAGTGACCCTTCCTTGAACAATATGCAAGTCCGTTCTGTCAGTCATGGTGATTCCTCCCCACACCATCACAGACCCACGCCCGAATCTGTCATGCTGTCTGACATTAACGTTAGCGTGACGCTCATTTACACGCCTCCGAACGCGAGCACGCCTATCGGTCGAAATCCAGAGTAAATCTGGGCTCATCTGAGAACATTACACGCGCCCATCGACGATTACCCCAATTTCTACGCTGCCTACACCATTGACGCCTGTTTGCCATGTGTTGGCGAGTTAATGGAGGCACAACACGCGGCTGTTGCGCATGCAAATGGGCTGCATGAAGCCGATTTTTAATCGTTTGCGGTATAAATCTAATTCCTGTAACATGGTACAAGTCTACAGAAAGCTGATTGGCCGCTTGTTCACGATTTCGCAGGACCTGTGTACGAATGTATCGATCCTGGGCTTGTGTAGTGGCTCTAGGACGACCTGAACGAGGTCTATCATCAGCATTGTGTGTAGGTTGGTACCGGTTCCACAGTCTGTGACACATTAAGCATGTTGGCTACTGCTCGCTGCGTAGAACCCATTTGAAGCATGCCAATAGCACGTAGACGTTCATCATGTTGAAGACGTCTCATTGCAAATTAAACGTAACACACTAAAGCAAAGATACGCTAAACAGTAAATCTTATGCAAGAACCGATAGGAAAGCAAACATGGATAGGATAAACCAGCACGCGGTAGTTTTCATCAAACCTTCCTTGAAGGGTCAAATTTGACAATAAACTCTTCCCACGTGTATGGCGCTATTGCGTGTCGCAGGTGCAGCTCAGTGGTTCTGTTTGGGCGATAAGTTCTTCATCTGTAAACCTACTCTCAAAGCATGTCAAATGTCCATGACTATTTATCATATCACAACCTGCATAGGTATTTGCATTTCAATATCCCCTATTTTTTTGAAGAGTATAATATAAAATCTCCGGTTATATTATTATTTGTGAAAAAGACATTTAATATCAATAATACAAGTACTATATTAGATAGTAAATTGTACAATATCCATTTTATAGTTAGTTTATAGAACGGATACAGCCCCAGGGTACTTCTCTAACATCATTTACCTACAATAAAAACAACAAAACATACAGTGATAAACCTTCGTAGGCCTAGCGTATAAATTATAAATACTATTAAAATAAGCCAGATGGGGAGTCGAAAATTTGTTTTGGAGAAAGTATGAAATGAAATGAAGTTTAAAGCCAGTAAGCCACACTGTTCTAACCAGGCTAATGAAGATGGGCATAATTCATGTGGTGTGTCAGCGCCTCACAACACACTGAGCCATCGTGGCTCTGGAAGATGTGGAGAGTTGGGCGGAGCGGCGGGGTGTAGACAGGAATGGTGTATAAATTCACGTATACACATTTCTGTTTGTGTCGTTGTCTGTGATTTACTGTGATATTTCAACGGAAACTAAATGTTAAGAGATAATATCTTCCTTTGATGTACACATGTTCCAGGACCAGGACCAGGAACTATGGACCAGGAACTGACTATGACGTGATCGCTACGAGCTGGGAATTGTGACACCATATCAAAGTCCGGCATTCGATACGCAATTGTCCAAGGAATAAACACGCCTGGTCCAAATATGGCTAGCTGAAATTCTTAAAAGGGAGTGTGGGTCTAAAGATGTGGGTTCTAAAGACACGAGTTTCAAAAGGCTTACCAATGATAGTATGATTTCTGGACATAACAAGATCCACACACGTTTTGTGGCAATAAAAGAGACGATCCACAGTTACCGTTCGTTTATTATACTTGGTATTAGGAGCAAATTTGTGAGGGAAATCCTGCGCATGGTTAATGTTTGACTGTGGATGACTCCTTGCCACATCAAGTAGTTTCAGTAATTGGTTTCCTTTCCAAGTTAATGAATTTCCCATGTTTGTGCTGTCTTCGTTATAAAGGTGTAGGCAAGTATCCAAACAAGATAAGAATGGATGAACATCTCCACGATTATCTGAAGAAATAAAGGGTTAATGTTATTTTCCTTGTGAAAATACACTCACGCAGCAGCTATTTATCGGATAAAACATAGCCATAGAAGCTAACTTATCCTAAAGGAAAACTTGGATGTTGACCAAATTTAATATGGGCCCTTTATACTCTCCAGTAATCTGATGTCTATCGTGTTCACAAGCTTTTGAGGGACAGGAAGTCCTGGAATGCCGAAATCAACGTAGTTCTCTTCTCCGATCCCACTGTTTCAGACCAAATTTGCAAAAATACATAAAAATTTTTGCTTCTATGGCGTCCTTCAGAAAAGGGTGCGTAACTCCGGAACGGGAGGTCACGACGGGCTGAAAATCGATAAGGTTCTTCCTCTCATGACCGCACTGCTTTATTGAAAAATGTACATTCAAAACATTGCCTCTATCGTGAACGGAAAGTCACAGAACGATGAATACAGATACGACTCCTCTCAAGACCTCAATGCTTGACAAAGAAATGTGGACGTATAAAAATGTACATTGCTACTACATTAGCGCCAGGAATACATTTTAATCTGACACAAATGTAGCATCCATCCCAAAAGAGAAATAGCAGCATCAGCTAGTACTTTCGGTTTAGATTTACTATACAATATACACTTAAACGAGATAACAGCCCTGTCTATAGAAAGGAACCAGGCCCTAAGTTCACAAAGCATTCTCAGACTTAAGTTGAGAATTTACTCAACTTTCAATCACTACTTATGAGAAATATCTTGGTTCCAGAAACACAAAACTTTGCACATAGTTTCTTATTGATGTATTTGATACATTGAAACAACACAAGTTTTATAAAGGGTTATATATTAGTTAATATAATGCGAACAATTTTGAGTAAATTCTTAACCTAAGTCTGAGAATGTTTTGTGAACTCGGGGCCTGGTGTTGGGATTTGATTTTCCAGCATGGTTCTGCTTATTGCGCATAGATCTCGGGGGAAACCTCATCGGTTACGTGTATTTTTTGATCCACGTCTTTCAGTTAAATTCGGTATACACAGTCAAAACAGTGACACCAGTAGTTTAGGTATTCTGCTGTTACGAAAGGATTTGAGATTCCCCAATTGTTTAAGAGTTTGGGAATTCCGCCAAACACGGCTTTATTCTTATGACTTAATTGGCTGACGAAGATCAGAAAGTCGAAAGAAAACCTTTCTCTTCGAGCCATTTTATTTACCTTTTCATTTAGCGTATCTTCAAGCCATTTTATTTACCTTTCCATTTAGCCTACCTGAGGATATGTTATCAATTACATCCATATTAAATATGACAAAAACCACCAGCCATACAGACGGGGAACTATTTCCATACATCAGCTTTGATATGTAATACTGAATGTTTATTTACACGTTTTAAATACAGATGTTTTGTTTCGCATAGGATAAGGGGATTGGTATGTGTTCTAATATAGATAATGTGTACTTGATGTATTGTACATGACGTACATGAGGTGTGACAATTGTTTGTGAACACTCTACAGGTCACAATTCTTATCCAATTTCAACGAAACTTGCAATATAGATTTATCTCCCCAATATCTCGGTTCCTTTCGATATTGGCATGTATTGGACCGTAACATCATGGATTATGGCCCCTGATTGTACGAAAAATCGCGTTTTTAGCTTGTGAACACTGTAGAGGTCACAATTTTTATCCGATTTGATTCAAACTTGAAATGTATGTTTATAACCCACAGATCTCGGTTCCTTTCGATATTCGCGCATATCGGACCATAACTTCCTGAATTATGGCCCCTGATTGTACGAAAAATCGCGTTTTTAGCTTGTGGGCCCCATAGAGGTCACAATTTTTATCCGATTTTTAAAAAAAACGTTTGAATATATCACCGTTACACCCTAAGGATGGTTTAGTTTGAATTTCGTAAAAATCGGACCGAAACTGACGGACAACATGGCCGCCCCACGTTTGCAAATAGTGTCAAAATATTCTGTATCAGGGTTGTGGACCCTTTGGAGGTCACAATTGTCATCTGATTTTGATGAAATTTGAAATGCATGTTTATAACCCAAATATCTTGGTTCCTTTCTATTTTAGTGCATATCGAATCGTAACTTCCCGAATTATGGCCCCTGATTTTACGAAAAATCGCGTTTTTAACACCTCCACTCTTTCCGGTCTCTCTATAAATAGAGTTGAATACAGCCTAATTAACTTTGATCCATTAAAAAAAAACAATATATACTGAGCGCCATGGAAAACGCATCACTTAGTTTTTCGTATAACAAAATGATCCTGTAAACATATCTTATTTATTTTGCTTCTTATTGTGAACAATATTCAAATGGGAACACATCAATAACAACACATTTGTACACTTATGGATGTTTAATCTGTAATCAACAGTACAAAGTCAGAGGGGTCAAAACCAAAAGTACGACACAGATGTCAGTAGCGCGTGTGTCCTCCACGGGCTCTTACGCACGCTGTGCAGCGACGTCGCATGGAATTTACCAATGTTTGAAAGAAGGCCTGGGGCAAATTGTTCCATTCTTGGACAAGAGCACGTTCTAAAGCAGCAATGGTGTGCATCTGTGGTCTCCGATACAGACGGTGTCCAATCTCATCCCAGACATGTTCTATCGGTGCCATGTCCGGAGACATGGCTGGCCTGTCCAAGACATTGATGTTGTTAGCAGCCAGGTAGTCCATACTAAAACGGGCGGTATGCGGACGTGCATTATCCTGTTGGAAGTGCTGAAGTTGTGGGTGCGCTCGAAACATCGGAACAACAATTGGTTGCAAGACATCATCACGGTAGGTTACAGCATTAACGCGACCCCTGCAAATGTGTAGGGCGACCCGGTGATGAAATGTGAAGCCTCCCCACACCATTACACTTCCCCCACCCCATTGATTCGTTTCGAAGACGCAGCAGTCTGCAAGACGTTCCCCAAGACGTCTCCACACACGTTGATTGACGGCCATCAGCGTGATAAAGATGAAAGCGACTCTCATCACTGAAAAGCACACTTTGCCAGTCTACTCTTCTCCATGTCTGGTGTCCTTGAGCCCATATCAAACGCCGCTGACGGTGATGATCCCTGAGGATAGCTCCAACATAAGGTCGTCGTGCACGGAGTCCTACTTCTCTTAGACGACGTCTTACGGTGTTGGCACTTACTGGTCCTTGTCTTCCGACGACTGCTGCACCTGTTCGAGTCGCTGGGCGGAATCTGTCACGCAGATGAGTGACCCGGATGTAGCGGTCTTGAGCCTCGGTTGTAACGCGTTGTGGACCAGGACGTTGACGGTCACGTGTTGATCCAGTAACTCGAACACGTTCCACCAACCTTACAATAGTGGACTGATGACAATTGAAGTGTCTGGCAGTGGCAATAGCACATGTAGACATGCCAGCCCTGGACATTCCCATGGCTTCATTCCGTTGATTTTCAGTAAGTCTCGGCATCTCTAGCTCGATTCCTTCACACGTCCAACAACAAATTACGACAGATTGACGTTTCACAGTTCATGTACTGCACATTAAGTTGAAAACATGCTTTTAAAGGGCTCACACACAATGCTGCACGTGAATATTGGGTTTTTCATGTGCATCTCGTGCAATTTTTTTTTGTGCACACGGGCCGATATTTTTGCGTTTGGGAGCATTGTGTGAAACAATAGTTCATAGTATTGCATAATATTATACATACAAAACCACCTAGTAATAAAATATTTGGGAAAAAGGTGATGCGTTTTCCATGGCGCTCAGTAGCATTGTGTCCAACAAACAAATAATACATGTATATCTAAAGAGAGGAATGACTATACATTTTTTAGTATGTACATTGAAAATCTTTGATTAAGCCCCTTATCTTTATTTTAGTTTAATTTAGTCCCCCCCCCCCTCCTTCACTCCAACTTTAATCTTATTTTGTAAGGTTCAAGGAATATGAATGTGCCAGAAAATTATTTGCATATTTTAAAAAAGCAATCAGTGATACGTAACAAGGTATCTGGAATTTCGTATTTAGACCAGTATTTTAACTTGAATACCCCATTAATAGTGTGGTATTGCATATTTTAAAAGAGCACTCAGTGACTCGTAACATGGTATCTGGAATTTCGTATTTAGGCTAGTATTTTTACTTGAATACCCCATTAATAGTGTGATATTTATTGGATTTGAATTATGAAAATACGATGGTATCAGAAAACTATTTACATATTCACAAACAGAAATGAACATGCTTTTCACTAATATGTAACATGATACCAAGAATTTCGTATTTGGACATTGCACAGCCCCCACACCTATCCCCCGTAATCATGGTAAAGTACCATCCAAAGTGTCAAGGTAAGCAAATTTTATCGTGTGCTAGACTGATTTCCTGTTATAGTGTCGTGAATATCCTTGTTCTGGGTTATAGTGTGCCAGGTTTCCGTATATGTTAATAAGTCACGTGATATCCTACATTTGCATATGAAAGTTGATGCTGTGCGAAAATTGCTATGTAGAATGCGTGAAGGACAAATGGGATGTGGCAGAGAGCAAATGTAAAATGTAATGTGAGAAATGTAAAATGTAGACAGCTCAAAAAAAGCATTTTCCCACAAAACATTTGCCATTTAACGCTTAACATTTGACGTTTTATATTTAACTCTAGCCTTAGAGGTATTTTGACTTTATCATTACCGGTATTAGGACTTTGTACATTGTACTTTTTACATATAATCAATGGAAAAGACATTGTAGCAGAGCATTTATAAATTGGCAGCGATACCCTTCCATACTTTTTTTACACTATTTGCATATGAGGGGTGGACATTTTGTCCGGCAGTTTTGGTCCGATTTTAACGAAATTCAAACCCAACCATCATTAGGGTGTAACAGTGATATATTCAAACGTTTGTTGTTTTGTTTGTTTTTTTTTTTTTTTGTTTTTTTTTTTTTTTGTTGTTGTTTTATTAATTGGATACAATTGTGACCTCAAGAGGGACCACGGGCTAAAAACGCGATTTTTCGTACAATCAAGGGCCATAATTCAGAAAGTTACCATCCGATATGCGCGAATATCGACAGGAAGCAAGATATTTGGGTTATAAACATGCATTTCAACTTTCAAGTTTCATCAAAATCAGATAAAAATTGTACCCTCTAGAGTGTCCACAAGCTAAAAACGTTATTTTGCGTACAATCAAGGGCCATAATCCATAAAGTTATGGTATGATACATGCCAATATCAAAAGGAACCGAGATCTTTGAGAGATAGGCCTATATTTCAAGCTTCGTCAAAATCGGATACAAATTGTGGCCTATAGTTCAAGCTTCGTCAAAATCGGATACAAATTGTGACCTGTAGAGTGTCCACAAACAAATTGTGGACGGACGTCCGGACGGACAGGGGCGGACGGCATGATACGTCCACGTGAACATGTGGGCGTATAAAAATTAGTCCATCACCCATCCATGTCCGCATACAATTAAATGACAGTTCATCCTACCATATCAGACGAGTATGCTGGATCTAAAAATTACACATTAAAGTTACATTATGTAAAATTTGGACAAAGAGCTGGTTGTTCTTGCTATAATAGTTTAAAGACAGATAATGCAAAATAAATATATAGAAAATTTCATTCAAATTACTTTATTCTGAGCCAAGTTATCACTGTTTGTAGTTTTGGCAAGATTACCGTAATTACGGTACTGGTAAATTCGGATCTAAGCCTCGCTTCTCCATTTCAAAATCAAATAATTAAATAGCTGAACCGATCTAGTCTATTATCGTAACCAAGGTACTGGCATATTCGAGTCGTAGTCTCGCTTCTCCATTTTTAAATTAAATCATTAAATGGCCGAACCGTTCTAATCTGGTTAAAATCTCGAACATCCATCCGACAGAGTGTGTTTATCATTACTTACAATTTGTTAATGCATTTGGAGTGCGTAGAGTTCAGGACAACTTAAACATACATTATGCAAGAGCTAAATCTGCCTATTACTGGTCTTTCTTTTGGCCTGAAATGCTATATTATGAACTATTAATTAGACATTTTAATAATTAAAATTATTAACATGAAAAGACCTTCATCAACTATCGATGCCATCTTATGTGTCGGATTTTCATTAGATTTGAATCCGATTTGCTGCTGCTCAACGCTCATTGATGATTTAATGGATAATCGAGACATGTTGGGGTTTTTTTTTTATCGTACGGGCTTTAGTAAAGATGATCGAGGCTAGGCCTAAAATTCAAACGCTAATATCTGGGTTCACTGTGGCAGGGGCGTACATACAGATTTTGATTGGGGGACGGGGGGGGGGGGCGTAGCAAAAATGCGACCGACTGATGCACATG